GCCAATGACTGCAACACACTATCCGTTATCACCAAATGGTTAAGACTTATGAATTGAAGTCGCGGTAAATGTTTGCCAATATTTGTCACAAACTGCTGATTAGTACATAGTTTGTCATCCGATGTATGCAGCGATAAATGTGTCAAACGTTTCAATCTATTCAGTGATTCACACATTAATTCAGATTCCGATCGAAAGTCTCTTTGGATTTCCAAACGTTTCAAATGTTTAAAGTTTTTATTAATTGTTTGCAATAATTGTGTGAATAATTCATTTGAATCCAAACCTAAATACAATGAAAGTCTCTTCAATTGCCGACAATTAGTACCAAATTGTTTCAATTGACTCATAATTTTAGCACTTAATGGCTTATTATAACAAGTAATCTTCAGATCAATTAATGCCGGCATTTGTGGTAAACTAGTCATCAGTATATCAATGCATTTCTCGTCATAATTCCTATGTATGGACACATCAATTGATTTCACAGTATTTTGATAGGACTTCACAAACACTGGCAAACAATTCACGTCATACTCAGTGTAACCAAATTTGAAAGTTTGTAATCTCGGAAACAAAACCTCATTTCTCTGACCACTTAATACATAAGACAAACGATGATCACTGCAAACGTAATTCATATTAATTTGCCGTAAATTCGCGCAAAACTTCATACTCTTAGCGATCAGATCCGTGGTATCGATGCGTTCAGTGTATAGCCATTCAATGAATTTCAATTGTTTGGCAAACTTTGCGAAAAATTCACTCAATGTCTGTGCCTTTAAATCATCGCTATGTATGACATGAAACTCATTCAAATGATTGCAATATTTGTTAATTGAGTCCAACTTTGAGTTATTAAATTTGTGTGAAATGCTCGCGATTTCAATGTGCGTAACGTTTGGACACTTTTTCAACACTATTTCAAATGTTTTGTCGGATATTATCCATTGATTGAGGTTTAGTTTCGTTAGTGTCGTGTATATCAATCGCTGCCACTGTTTGGACACACATTCATATCTGAATCTCTCCTCAAACGACAGGTAACTCAATAAGTGTTGACACAAATCATCACCGAATCGGTCCAAAGAGTCTTTCGCGTAGACTTCCTTCTCATCCATTGTATGACTACTTCTTGCTGTCATTCCTCGTCTCTTATGAAACAATACTTTGCTATCAATTGCTCCCATATTTGATAAAATAAACTAAATTATAAAAAGATAATTATAGAGAATTAACAATTAATAGTAAAACAACTATTTCACGAGACTTACAGTCAATGCAAAACTACAGGTGCTTTCCAAACCAATAGTATACTGTATCTAACATTCTACGATAAACATAAAAACTTGTTTGATATGTTTAATTGAATATATTAATGTTTATAGTATTAATTGTATTGAAAAAAATTATAAAACAATGAACTAAATGAAGAATATATTTGAATATTAAGTTAATATTATTAATAGTAATCGTATTAAAAATGAAACACTTAGACGTATACACTTAGACTATACTGTATTATGATACACGTTGACTGACGTACAGAATATTCACTGAATGACTCATTATTTGAATAGCACCAGTGCAATCTATGGGTAGACTATGATATATTGTAGAATATTCTTGAATTTAACATACAATTAATGAATAATCATTTTTCCAAATTTTAACAAGTATTTATTAAATGAAATTAATATAAAATTAGCTACAATTATATGAATTAAAAAGTGTAAACGAATGTACCGTAAAAATGAATGAAAGTACCGTACGGTATGTGTAGAATATGTTTAGAAAATATAATTAAAAATCTCTTAAAATTAATTAAAATGAGATCAAAAAGTCTGATATGAATGTTGACATCAATCAGAGGTAATCGAGGGCTAAGAAGTCATTTGAATGCATAGAGTCGTCGCAATTGCTTTCAGTCTTTATTTTCTTATATTTGACTTCACTTTCAATTTCAAGCAATAATTCAGTTTTCAATTCACATTTGATTTCATTCTTGAGTTTTACGGCAAATTCAGACATTATTCCACTTTTTATTTCTCTCATGATTTCGGCTTTCATTTCATTTTTAATCTCATTTACGAACTCTTCGTCGAACACTTGACTACTTCTTGCGTCCATTTCTCTGCTCCTATTAGACACTACTTCGGGATCAATTGATGGCATTATCGTCTATACGTAAATAAAAACACATTATTATTCACTCAACATATTAACATTACACAGAATACTGTACATTCTATGCGAACTACCAGTGCTGTCAATGACTAAACCTATGTATAATCGAAAAGACAATTACCGGACTCATTGTGGGATCATTTTTCCGCTTCTTATGGTCCTCAACGATCTCTTTCATGGTGTCGAAGAACTCCTGTTGATTG